CTTTTTTTAACTTGTGCTTTTTCAGGAAGAGGAGGAAGTTGGGAATTTGCAGTTGGCCTGGGAGATGCTGGAAGTGGCAAAAGTAATCTATAAAAGGTGAGGACAATACTTCAGAATGGAAAACTAAAAGTATTAATGGAGCAATGAGGTAAAATTAAATGTGTTCATTCACCACAGGAAGGAGAGCAAAGATGAACAGCTGATGGCAGCACAGACGTATCTGAAACTCGGAGAAGTCAGTGCTGAATCGGGTATGTTTCCTGCAGCACATGTTCCTGCAGACTTTCTTTTTAACTTGCATTTAGAAATGAAAGAAAGCACGTTGTTCTCCTGTGTAGTCTTCAGCTGCTTTCACACATTTACTAAAATCATCCAGAGGGGGCTGCAAATGCGTGAGTCAGTTTCTGCTGCCGTTTACCGCCACATCTAGTAAACTCCAGATAATTCCCATGTGAGAATTCAGATCGTCCACACAAGTAACTGATTGAAATGTATTTAAATCTTTTTTTTGTCACTTACATTGCAACTATTTTGTAACTCATGTAGTTCTGCAAAACCTGTGCCCACTCCCTCAGGTAACTACCCTCAGGCACTAGAGGACTTTCAGGAGTGTCTCACCCTGCAGCTGAAGCACTTACCCTCCCACAGTCGTCTGCTGGCTGAGACACACTACCACGTCGCCACCACACTGTGCTACATGGATCAGTACAGCCAGGCCATCCAGCACTACAACAGCTCCATAAAAGTCATCGAGGCTCGTCTGGGTAAGGTTATCGTTTCTCTGTGTGGGAGAACTTGCTGTTGAGGTTTTCTACCGGCTTCAATTTCCACCTGGAGTTTAACAATCACGCCTTAATAGTTGCTGTTGATCATTGTCCTTGAAGGCAAACTCCTTTTAGAGTTCTAACGTCTGTGTAGGTGAAACTGAGTTGATTGGAATGTGGCACCTCACTCCTAATCTATCTGTGCAGCCATGTTGCAGAAGGTGATCGATAAAGCAAAAGGAGCAGATGCAGCAGCGGAAGAGAAGAATGAGATGGAGGAGCTGAAGCAGCTTCTGCCTGACATCAAGGAAAAGGTGGAGGATGCCAAGGAGAGCCAGAGAACAGCCAGCACGGCCTCCCAGGCCATCCAGCAGACACTAGTGAGTACACACTCATCACAGGGATTAAACCACCTCCTCAACATGAGTGTGTTTTGTGGATGAACAAATCACTACTGATGGTAGGGCCACAAGATTCTGAGAAAAAAAAAAAAAGAGAAACATGTAGACGAGCTCACAATCTTTCAAGAGAAATGTTTAATGCATTTACCTGCTAAAGGAAACTTAACAAATGACTGTGGGATAAATGTGCAGAGTTGAATCCTTCTCTTGCAGGGCGGTGCCTCAACCTCTTCAGCGTTCTGTGAAAACAGGGGCCCTTCATCCTCCACAGCATTTACCACAGTCAGCAAGGTAACGTCATCGCATGACTGACCAGAAGAAAACAAAGACGTAAATCCACAGAATACTCAAACCACTTTTCTTTCCGTTTTCAGATTCCAGTGAAATCAGCTGAAGGCGCCTCATCCTCGAAAGTCTCAGACATCTCCCACCTCGTTAGGAAGAAGGTGAGACACTCTTATCTCCTCCTGCAGGTCAGAACAAAGCTGACTTGGAAGAATCAAAGTTGATCTGTTATGTGGTAACTGTGTATTGTGTGTGCTTGCCTGCTCAGGCTGTTGGTGTCATCATGGCTTTCTGCAAATGCCTTCAGCTTTTGTGTTGTGGCTTTTGTGTGACTTGTGCGGGTTAGTGTAGTTGTGGCATGTGTGTCTGTGTTCGCTTTGTGGTAGAGCTAGAGTTAATTCAAGCTTTTCTTGTGGGCCGACTTGTGTTGCATGATTTGTTCAACTTTGTGATCTTGACGTAACACATGGTAGGTTTTCAGCTTCTCTGTAAATGTCGACCTGGAAGGTGTTTGTGTACACAAGACTTCAGTCTCCTCTTCCTCCTCCCCCTTGTCTTGGTTTTGTTTCTACGCAGAGGAAACCAGAGGAGGAGAGCCCAGTAAAGGACACTGACGCTAAACAAGCAAAACAGGAAGCCACAGTTAATGGCAGCGGGGACTCTAGTGCCAGCAACGGCAATGGAGTCAAGGAGGGAAAATCACAGGAGGCGAGTGATAGGCTTGTGTCTTTACGTTCTGATGTATGTGTGCGACAGAAGACTTGGGATCGTTGGTGAGAAGAAACATGCAGTAGTTACCAGCCGTGTGGTTTCTGGTGATGTGTTGTTCCTCTCGGAGGAAACTCACCTCTTAATCAGAACTCTATAAATGCCCACCAGCACGTCGGGAGGAATCCTGTGTCGTTTGACGCGTTAACTCATGGGTTGTTTAACATGCAACTTTGTGTCTTGGATCCTTTCATCCAGACAAGTCTTATTTTTATTTTATTTTTTTTATGTAATGACCGACAGCTTAACTCGCCTCTGAGTCGCTGCTGGTTCACAGAGCACCTCTAACCACACATGTAGCATCAGCTGCAACAGCCTCTGAACAAATTCTCTTTGCATTTCTTGACATTCACTTCTCTGTCTCCTTTCTGCAAAGGGAACAATTTGTACTGTTAGTAGAGAGCTGCAGCGACTAACACTGACTAGAGCTGTACATGACAAAACAGTCTTTTGTGTTCCTGCTGTTCTAATAAATATGCTTTCTCTCTTGTAGCCTGCCAACAAGTCGGCCTCTGTTCAGTCTTCAGCGTGACGGTTTGATTCCTGATCCTGAGAACCAGCACAGCATGCCTGTCCTGCCCCCCCCCCCCTCCACCTTCAGCAATTTTGTTTCTGTAAATAAGATCCATTTTCATAGATTTGTCTGTCCAGTTTTGTATACTTGTAGTAAAAAAATAAAGAATTTGCAGATGTAAGTTTGTATCATCACATTGGTTTTCATTTTTAAAATGACTTTCTTGGGACTTAATGAAGTTTTAACTAGAAAGACTTGATCTGTGACTGTTGCCCTGATGCTTGGGTTCATGGTGTTGAGGCAGGACACAGGTTGTGGTTTTAAACTCGACAAACGGTAAAACATTTTACAAACTGAGGTATAACATTAAAACCACTTGTGTTATACCTCAGTGTGCTTGAACCAGCATTCAGTCTAAATGTTGAACTTCTATTGTGTTGCTGTTGATAATCATTTGATTGTTGTGGTTTTATCGCCCAGCACTAAATGGTATTTATAGATCTAATCTAAAGTCTTGACCTGAATGGACCATCCAGAATTGGGTCCGACTTATTTTTGTGTGAACTTGAGCGTGAACCTCCCTGCAGCAGGCACCAGTCATATGTCTGTGATCGTCAGGACTCTGGGTCTGTGGTGGTAAATCTCATGAAGCATTTTGCACTGGTTGAATAAATCATGACATTTGACGTCATCACTGGGTGCGAGGAGCTGCTGGTGGACTTCGACAATTTCTCTGCAGTTATTTCATATAGAAAACCAGTTTTAAATGATGAATGGTTTGTTGCAGCGGAAAAACTACACAAATGAGGCGTTTTTTCTTTTTTTTCAAAATGTACTTTATTTTATCGCAGCACTTTGTTTGGAAACATTTATTCCATGACCGTTCTTGCATATCTGTCCTTTGACTAAAGTAAATGTCTTTGTCAGGATCAGAGGAGAGGAATCTACACAGTGATCGGTTTGATCCCCACTGTCTGTTTTCTGAATGTCATGTTTGTCTCTGACTGGCTCCGTCTGCGGGTGGAGGTTCTCTGTGATCGGTCGAGCTCAGCACGAGGAGTTGATCCACCTCTGTGGGCTGAGGACCTGAAACTGACGGAGATGGTCGCCCAGTCACGTGGAGAGAGGACGCCTGTGTGGAGGTACACCAAGAACACACTGAGAAAGAGAAATCCTCCCAGACATGCATCCAATTCAAGAGAATCCTTACATGAGGCTGCTCGCTGTTGAGAGTAAAACTGCAGTTGTCCAGTTATGAAAATCTTTTATGTAGATTTGGCTTTTTATATATAGAGATCTATTATTTAATTTTCCCAGATGATTTATAACTAAACCAGCAGTGGAACCTGCTTAAATAGGACAAAACATTTTCTCTTAAAATTGTTGCAGAGACAAAACAATTAATTTCCAAACTTACAACTGCCTCTTGGCCAGATTACATTAACTGATTAAAAATATCTGGACCTCCGACATGTCCCTTGTGAACCTACTACAGGCTGATATCTGTAGTGCCTGGTGCTGGCAGGGTCGGGCTTCTCCAGGGTCTGCATGTCCTCATCTCTTCTGTTGGCCAAACGTGCACACAGCTCCGTGTTTCCCACCTTAATTAAAACAAAATTTTAAAAAAGCCATATAATTAACTTCTAAAAGGCTATAAAATATAATCTAATGTTTTAAATGATTATTGCAACTCCTTCAAATCTAATAACTCTTCACACCTGGGGTATTGAGTTGAGCTGGGCAATGCTGAGTGAAGGTTTAATAGGCAGACGGCGCACTGGCATCCTCCAGTGGCCACTACAGAGCTGTTCGTGTTGAGACAATAACACAGAACAACATGAGTGTGCTGGATACGTGCTCAGCTACAGGTCAACTACACACAGTTCACATGTTCGTATGAGACAGCAGGTGTAGGTGCAAAGGTTTAAAACTGCAGCAAATCATTATGTTCCACTTGATTTAGTTTTCATCCGTGTGGTTTTGTTTGTTCTTCAGCAAGATTACACAAAAACTACCGGATAGATTTCTATGAAACTTGGTGGACGGGTGTGTCATGGGTCCTGGAAAGAACTCGTAAAATGTTGGTGCAGATCAGAAAATAGTTTTCTGACACTTTCTCCAATGCTCTGAGTGTCATTCTAGTTTTGATGAATTGATATTATTCAATCAAAATCCTAATATTTTCTTAGCTCCATCATCTGAGCTCAGGCCTCACTCAGTCTCACCTCCCGTCCATTGTTTAATGGGTTCTTCTTTGGGTCATGCGTCACAGAGTTTCATGGAAATTGGTTCAGTAGTTTTTGTGAAATCTTGTTTACAAAGAAACAGAGGTGAGAAAACAACCTCCCATAGGCGGAGATAAGTTTTAATATTTGAGTCACTCTCCACGTCTCCAGCAGTTCATCAACATGTCACTGACGCTGCAGATGAACCTGGTTGTATTGATCAAAGAGTTCCAGTCGTGTCCAGCCAGAGGGCGACAGTCTGAAGACCTCCTGCTGATAAACATCCAGATCTCTGGCTCCCTGCACCTCCACCACCAGGCAGAGCGACGCTGACGGCTGGATCCTGCAGAGGGGAAATACATACATGTGTCATACATGTAACAGGAGACTGCAGCATGTGAACTGCAGGTGCATTTTAAAAGAGACACCGGGCCTCTTCGGAAAATGCTGCACCAGATTTGCCTTTATACTATATTTTTGGGGAGAAAGACATTTTTGTGCCATATCCTTTCTGCTCTTCACCTCCTACCTGGGAACGGGCAGTTTGACTGACAGAAGAGCGAAGTTTCCAGGGGTGAGGCTGTGGGTGAGAGGTGAAGATAATCCCGGCAGACACTGGACAGGGGGCAGAGGAGTCGGGGGTCCCACTTCCACACCCTCAGAGTAGAGAGCCGCCACCAGACGCAGTGCTTTCTGAGAGGCATCGACTCCCAGAGCCAGGTCAAAGAAAACCACAAAACCAGCTCTGAAAAACCAGAGGAAGTCGTTTGAAGAAAGGAAACTCAGACATGTGAATGGCCTGTTGGATGCACAGTGTGTATATGAAGATGGTAAACTGACGCAGGGTCGTAGGGAGCTGGACCCAGAAAGTCCAGTGGGTCCATCATGTGTCGCCCTGACGTAGAGGAGAAGGAAGTTCATCAAGTTCCAGCTCTGAGTACTCAATGAAAATGTTGAAAAACGCAGAATCTCACAATTAACGAAACATAGTTTATGCAATTTTAATTATATTATCAATTTAAACATTTGAGTTTTGTCCAAAAATTAAACTTTCCATCTTGTCCAGAAGTTTGATTCTAAATATGCTGGTGATTTCTTACCTTTCCCCCGGGGTTCACCCTGAATTTGATATTTGTGGATTTGAGTTAAAAACCAACAACTACTGGTTGGGTTGTATTAATGTTTGGTGCATGTGCAATAACTCCAGCACCGTCTTCTGGTCAAAACAAATTATTTGGATTCAAATCGCTGCAAAACTGACACTGAACATTTCACCTACTTTCCCAGAGCACAGCAGCGTCATTGTGACTATCCCATGGTAACATTGTGCTTAAGTAACTGCATGAATTTTTCAACCAGTTAACTCATTAAAATTATATTAAGCTCGTTAAAAACATGTTTATCAGAAAGACTTCAACCTTGGTAGTCATGTTTTCTCTCTCTGTCCAGCTGCATCCTGAGGATCTCCTCCTCCAGCCTCTGGTTCTCCTGCTCCACAGCCAGCAGCTCCCAGCTCGGACCCGGCAGACGAGGCCTCACCTCTGGAGTCAAGGAGAACAGTGAAGTGGCTCAGAGCCTAAAGGTAATTTACCCTCGGTCTTGAATCTGCAGCTTGTATCAGAATCATCAGCTTTGATAGCACTCAACACAATTAAGTTCTGTTACTGATCATGTAAATCTCTGTCATCGCTCTCGTCAGTCTTACTCCTCCTCCTGTCCCTGTCAGACGCTGCTGCTGCTGCTGCGTGATTCTTCTCCAGACTTTGGGCTTCTGCCTGCAGGTCAATCATCTGAGCCACAATGGTTGGATCGGACCCACCTGACTGCATGTAAGTCTGTCGCAGGGCTCTGCAGCGGAGACAGTTTACCCTCAGGTAACCAGCTGAACAAATGCTTATTCACATGTAAACAGCTTTATTTATATTAAGACAACCAGAGAGAGAAGACACAGGAACAGGGTGAAAACCTGCACTTGTTTCTGTGTTTTTGCTTCCAGCTGTTTTTGTTAATAAATTCCTCAGGATGAATGCAGGCATGTACTTTATCTGGGCAGAGAGCGACCCATCCGCTGAAGTAATGAGCTTGTAGTTGTCAGGATGCATCTTTTTCTCCTCGGCTGGATCTGGCTGATCAGCAGGTCGCACGCTAAGAAAAAAACCAAAAACACAGCGAATCATCTAACCTGAATCGTATCGAGAAGTCTCCCAGCCAGAATCCACCCGACAGTACAAGGATTCAATTTATTCCACCACAAACGTTGCAATGAGGAACTACCCGAGCATAATGAAATACATAATTGATGCTCTGAGTCATAGAGCAGCCAGGAAAGAAAAAAAAACACATTTCATGGAATATTCGTCTAAAGAGCGCTGCAGGATCAGACATAATTCACCATAACAACACAGTAATTAAACATGTTACCTTCAGGGAGGTTATGTTTTCACCCCTGTCTGTTTGTCTTTTTTTTAAGGCAAGATTAACCAAAACATTCTGGACGGATTTCCACAAAACGTGATGGAAGGATCCGTAATGAGTCTGGGAAGAACCCGTTAAAGATGGAGCAGATAGAGTTCAGGGGACAGATTTAATTGAGAGAGATTTTTTCATTAGTTTCTCAGAGAGTTCTTCATTGATCCTGTGAGAGACGTCAGGCACGTTAGAGGAACGACACATCGATGAGTGTGTGGAAGTTGCTGAAGCTTGAGTGTATTTAAGAGGATTATTGAGCTCCTGGAGACTTAGTATAACCTGAACCAGCCTAAACCTAAACTAACCTTTAAACTTGTCTTCACCTTAAAATTAACACACACACACACACACACTTACTGCAATGCATGGAGATGTTGCAGTGTTTCCTCGTCCCTCCCCTCCTGCTCTCTCAGCTCCGTCAGCAGAGTCTCCAGGTGACTCGAGCGGCTCTGCTCACTCAGGACACTGACCTGATGGGCCAACTCTGACACACACACACACACACACACACACACACACACACACACACACACACACACCATCTTAGAGCATTTGCATCATGTGACATTTTGCGATGAGAAGTCTTCGGCATGAAATTTCGCACCGAAGACAGAAGCAGGTTTTTGTCCTTTACATCCTCCACCACGTGTCCCTCACCGTCTCTCTGCTGCTCCAGCTGCTGGTTGTGAGAGCGTATCAGGGCCACTTGGCGCTCGTGGAGCGTCGCCATCTCCCTCATCTCCTTCAGCCTCTCAGCGTGACCCAGATGACGTCGACTCGGCTGAGGGCCATGTTTAAAAATGAATAGATTTATACGCAGCATTGCTTCTTAAACATGTCACAGAAAAGATTGATTTCTTCTTTGGCCCCGGGCGTCATTAAAAGGTTCTTTTTTGTTGGACTTCACTCGGAGTGACTCATTCTTACACCACAGGCTGACGACTGGGTCTATTATTAAAGAACCTTTACATTATAGAGGACATTTGGGCACTTATAGCACCTTGACATACACTGAAGTGCTCATCTCACAGGCTGAAAAGTACAGTGCAGTGGGAAGAAGAACAAGATGTGGAGGGAGAACGACAAAACCAGTGAGTCCACCTCAGTGTCTGTGGAGCTCCTGGACCGGTTTGGGAGGTTTTCTTCTATGGACATCATCAACCTGTGAAACTGAGAAATAGAAGAAAGAAATGTATTTTATCTCAATGTGAAACTAAAAGAAATAGAAACACTAAATTAGTAATACTTTTCAGTATTTGCCTGCTCTTCCAGTGTGTCTTGACTGACACATATCCAAACATGAATTTTTAATCAAAGACCTCGAGTTGCCCACAGTGTTAAATAACGACATCAAAAATGCACTACATAATAAATATATATACACCAAATGTCGCTCTGACACCTGGATCCCTGTGGGGATATGAGTCAGCTTGTGTGTTTTTCATGGTGCAGCGGATCTTTTTTACCTCGTCAGTCAGATTTCGCAGAGCAGCCGCGTCCGTCTGAGCGATCGCTGGTTTGTCTTCTGTTCCTGACTTTAGCTCGGCCTCAGCACTGCTCCACGTGATGGGGTTTCTTCTCTGACCCTTCGTCTACAAATGCAAAAGTTGTGTTTCGACCAACAGTAACTGGAGCTTACAGTCACATGAACTTTTTTCAGGGAACTAAAAGATTCCTGTTTTCACCTGTGTGGGGTCTATTATGTGGAAATTCACATTCTGGTTCTCAGTCGTTTCATTCTTAACTATTTTGGTGAGTTTACAACTTCATACTGCTCACAAATAAAGGTTTGTGCGTATCTATTGGAAAATGATTAAGATTCCTTTGTATATTTGAACTCTTCTCCTCTGATCAGCTGTTGTTTGGTTTCTTACCTGAGTGAGATCAGGAGTTCTGGTCTGTGTAGCGTCGACACCTCCGCTCTCCACCTCACCACCGATGCAGAACATTGCTGTGTGTTTCTCCAGCAGCCTGGTGGAGCGAAACACCATGTTACAGGCGCCGCAGATCAACGCCCGCTCCATCTGATGACCTCTGGTTACCTATAGGTAGGATTGATTATCTCCCTGTTCCCATAAAATGCAGTAGGAATAACACTTACAAGTATTATTAAAGCAAGAGTAAGTGTGAACACACATTTCTCTTATTCTGAATTTGATAGACGTCGATTCATTTAAATCTTGTGAACAGGTTTGACAGCGGAGACGTTGTCCTCTGTGTTTGTTGGCAACTGTCACCATGCAGTGACCTCACCGTGAGGGTGTGGCTTCCACCCCTGACGACTTTATTAACAATACAACTGTTTCACAAGTGTCATTCTAACGTTTCCGTCAGAACTAAATCCAAGTTTCTAAGAAACAGCTTGGATACATGTAAACAGAGAATCTCTCCACAATAACGAAGAATTACTTTAGAATTATTATGAATGTCTGAGCAACTTCAGGTAGAACAGAAGAAAACAAATGTGCCATTGGATTTCTAATCAAATTTGAATTGTTCAGCCCATTTTGTAAGATCATAATTTGCCTCTATGTTAAACCTTCGACAGGAGGAAATACAGAAATCTAATCTCAACCTAAACACTGAAAACTTTTTTATCGGGTGTCGATCTTATCAGGCGGCCGTGACTCTGGAGGTAGAGTGTGCCTTTCACAAACCAAAGTGTCAAATGTTCGAATACCCTCAAGTGTGCTTTGTCCTTAGTCAACACATTGAACTGTAAATGACCCCTGACTTTCCCGCCAGTGTGTGAATGTGTGATGAAAAGTGCTGCAGAAAGAAGCTTGACTGCATGACTCTGTGTGTGAATGTGACTTGTTAAGTGCTTTGAGTGGTTGTTAAGATGAAAAAAGGGCAAGATAGATGCAGTCGTTTTACTCTGTTGGTTCCCGAGCGAGTCCTCAAAGCAAAGCTTTGAACTAGAACGACACAGTAGAGCTCCACCAAGGCCCAACCGAAACAAGCTGCACCACATTACACACAGTCACAGACGTCAGTCTCCTCAACAAGCCTGATTGTTTCAGTTGTTTCTGGGGAAATCGGTGTAATCTTGCTCACAAACTAACAAACCAAAGGACTCGGAGATAATGTGACCTCCTTCACTCCTTGACTTTCTACTTTTGGTAAAGAGGGTTTGGTCAGAAGCCGGCAATTGTCATTATTTACTCTTTTCACATTTGCTATCACCTGAGTACAGTTTCCAGCTGCTCGCCATTGCTACTGTTTATTATTATTCGTAACAGTAGAGGAATTCTCTCAACTCACTCAAAGACTGTTAAGTTGAACGACACGTCTCTGCCCATCCCACATCAGGAGAGTTTCATAGTGAGCTATGAGGTTTCAGGTATTAAAGCTCCGTCAGTTTTCACCGTTCGACTGTATGTTGAGGGCAGTGATATTAAACAGGTTGGTTATGTGAACTCGTCCTTTAACTCCCTGTGATGCTCATACAGCAACAGTCCAGTCTGCTCTGAAACAGCCTCCATAATAATGAGACAGAGAACTGCTGCTGAGGACTGAAATATTCAACATCCATCCACACCTCTGACAGAGGGAGGGAGAGAGAGAGAGAAACTGGGGAGAGAGGGAGGGAGAAGGAGAGATGGAAGGAGAGAGAGAGAGTTTAGAACTTGAACTCTCTCGTTCTCTCCCCCACATCCCTTCCCTCTCGCTCTGCAACACACACTCACACATGCCCGTTTGTTGCTAAGCAACTGTAAAATAAAGCAGCAGGCTCTGAAGTCAGAGAGAGAGAGAGAGAAAGAGGGAGAGAGAGAGAGAACTGCAATCCGGTGCTGTTTGTTTGGTTCTGTACATCATCCCACCACAGCTCTCTCTCCTCTCTGTTCCCATCTGTGGATCTGTGAGGAACTTGTGACTTCTGGTTCCTCTGTCGGCCCGGCCAATCAGCGCCGGCGAGGGGGACGGGCCCAGCGGTTCCCTAGGTTACCTGGCGTGATTGACGTGCAGCCTCCTGCAGCGGAGAGCGCACGGCGGTGGCGGTGGTGGTGGTTATCACTGATGCTCCAGCTTCACCCCACGGAGACTGTGGAGAAATCTGGATAAGAGAGGAGAGGAAACACAGGAGCAAGAGGGATGCTGATGATTTAAAAGTCCTTCGCTCTCCTCCTCCTCCTCCTCCTGAAGATGAAAACTGGAGCGCAGGAGGAAGCCGGCTGAAGGGAGAGAGAGAGGAAAGGAAGGATTCCTGAAGAAGAGGAGAGGGGATTTGTAGGTAAGAGACCCCCCCACACCACTTTTCTGTGTCTGTCCTGGCTTCAGTCACTTGTCCTCTGATAGATTGGTCTCTGGGCTGTGTTTGGTGTGTGAATGGGTGAGACAGGGAGGAAGACGGATCCTCTGCATGCTGCGTGGCTGTGGAAGCTGTAACTGTATGAAACCTACATTCCACTGGAAGCCTGTTTTACAGTATGCAAAGGCTTTAGCTGAGTCAAGAGCAGCCGGTCGATGTATTTATAGATTTAATTACATATATATGTATATATATATACATATATATGTATACGTGAAGCAGGGTGATTAGAATGTGTGTGTATGAGCTGGATCAGTCATTTCAGGGCTACAGTTACAGCTGAGGCCAGGATATCTAGGCTTGTCTACTGTATCTGCATAGGAGGAGGAGTATTAATTACATAACGCTCCATCTATACTCCTGAATCAGGGCTGTGCAGCTTCCCACTGTCCCACTGGTCCAGAAGAACCAGTGTCTGTAACCTACAAAGACGTTTAGTTTCTAATGTCACAGTCTCAACTGGAGAAATTCATCCAGTGCATTGCTCCTGATCTCTGCAGCTCTTCACTGGTGTGGACAGATGTGTGAATTAACAAGTGGCCAAAAAAAAGCAACTTTTGGTCCCTCGTGTCTTGTTGCATTTTGGAAACGTCGTTAAAAAGAGATGATGCGACACAGGTCGTGCATTAAAGGTTCAAGTAGCACTAAGAGCTTGGCGTGCGTGCCAGCGCTCAGTGCCACCCAGGATTCCCCAAAACCTCCATTAGTAACCTGAGGTCAGACGACAGCCGGGCTCCTCGGGCCCTCAGGACTCTGCTCCTGCACCATCAGGGATTTCCTGGCTTTTTTCCGCTCAGCTGCTCCCCCCCCCCCCAAGAGTCCTCGTAGCCCCACAACCCGCAGACACACTTTTAAGCTGTGAGAAAACTTTCTGCTTCTTCTTTTTTCGTTTTGGGGAAAATAGGATGGACGATAAAGTTGGCACGTTCTTTCTGAAACACTTTTTGATCTTATTTGTGGAAATCGACTTCACCAAGTCATCTGAAAAGAAAACAGTTAGCCTGCTCATGCTAGCTCTTCCAGCATTACCGAACTTTAAATAATTAGGAGATTTTGACAGATGGTGCAGGCTGTAATGAACAAAATGTAACATTTGGAGTTCGGCTCCTGACCTCAGATCTTATTGTCAGATATAAAGTTGCAAATGCAAATTTATAGATTGAACTTATTAATGAATTTATACATTTTACAAGATAGTTATTTTCTGCCGTGTCATGCAATCTGGTGGACGGATGTGTTGTGGGTCAGGAAAGAAGTGGATTTGGTGAATTTAAATGTGGTTTCATGAGGAGACAGTTGGGCCTTGGTAGAAGTGTGTGCTTTCCTGAGTCATTCTAGTTTTTAAAAAATGTGTTATAGAGGTCGTCCACATCTGGAACTGACTTTAATACGACTTTCACAAGGATCTTTCGCTTCCTCTGCCGTCTTATTACAACCTCGTCCTTAATCGAGACATTTTTATTTGTAACAATTTGAGGTTGACTGACTCATAAAACTGTGATTCAGCTTGTTAATTGGAGAAAAACTCACTTACATGGCAGCCACACAGGTTTTTCATTTCATCACATGCTACATCTGGAGTGTTTGTGACTCCAGGTCTGATATCAGTCCGCTCAGTGAATTCAGATCCTCTCTGCAGGTATAAACCAGAAACGCCCATCTGTCACCTAAAGGCAGTGATGGGGGCCACGGGCAGGTTTTCCTGAGGGAGTTTCTCAGACGTTTCTCAGCCGCAGCTACAGTTGGAGGTGTTTGAGTCTCCAGAGCTGCTGCCGGCCTGCGTAGGAGGAAACATCTCATCTTCACAGCTTCGTCTATAGCAGATACAAAGATACAAAGCTTCAGGAATCGTTTCTGCTTCAGTAGATTGCGGAGCAGTGGCAAGGCGGAGGATTGGGAAAAGGTTAGGGGGACGAAAACAAGGCCAGGAGCCAGGTTCAATCCCCATCACAAGTACATGGCCTCCACCCTCGCCCAGAGATTCAGTTTCCTCGAGTCAAGTTTACTGTAACGTCAGTTGTTCTGTGAATACTTGTTATCATCAGTGGTCAAAGTTTGACTGAACTCAGTCGCTTTCCAGTAAAGTATAAAGTCTTTATATACAGTATTTATATGCAGTCTACAGTACTTATATACATTCTACATACTTAATAAACATTCCGTATACACAGTCTACAGTCTTAACATATAGTCTAAAGTCTTTATATGCAGTCTACAGAGAGAAACTGTTAGTCTGAGCTCATTCGCAAACAACATATCTCCCTAAGTGCAGATGAAAAATGTCCTAAGTACTCTGGTGTGTATGTGTGTGTCACTGTATGTGTGTGTGTTTGCTTGTCTGTCTGCACAGTTACTGTATGGTTGCATCATTCTCAGTAGGATTATGAAACAGTGAGAAATTAGAGGAAAGAGCGTGAGACAAAGGAGGAGAGAGAAGAACGAGAGACACAAACCTCGACAGATTTTGCAAGAATAAAAAAACGTTTAATTCACGTGTCACAAATCAAGAAAACGAAGGAATTCTAACTAAAGGATTTCACTGTGCGACTCACTCAGATGATGAGCTTTGAATTGTTTCCGTTATTGACCGACGTGGAAGCATGTTAATCTGCGATCAGCTAACAACAGCCCATAATCAATGACTGTGATTGTCCTGTGGCTTCAGATAACTGCCGTGCTCCACGTTCGATGACTGTGTCTGCAAGAAAGAATCAATTCATACAAAGAGCTGAGGATCCATGAGCTCTCAATGCTATGACGTGTTTGACTCAGGCTTTTCAGAAACAAATGTTTTTCAGTATAATTATTGGATTCAACAGTAATAAATCTTACTTATATAAAACTGGAGCAGTACTCAGTAAAGCTAATATCTCCTCCAAGGCCAAACTGTGCACGTTAATTCAAACAAGCATTATAGCCGAGTCCACGTTACTCACCTACGCAGTGGTGGTGGTTTAAAATATTACATGGATGATTCTGTCCGGGATTAATAGATTATATTCAATTATATCGTGTTTTTCTAGTCTTAATAACCAGCACATTATGTTTATAGTCACATGAATTAATTCACACACATAATTTACATCTATATACAGATTTAATACTCGATTGGCGCTCAGTGGAGTTCATACCTCCACTAAGGCCCAACAGTCCCTTAATGAAACCACACTTATTTCACTAGATCGGAATTTTTAATTGGATCTGCAGCAAATTGCACACACTCGTAAAAATGCTGAATTTTATTGTTTCCTGTGAAATTAGTGAAAATGTCAAAAACACCATGTCTTACAATCCAATCCTGGATTCTGCCCCTTTGCTCAGATCCACCTAACTACTACCTGCTGATGATTTGTTATGCAGACGTGGATGAGTTTATACTGGGATCTTATGGTGTTTCAGGTTCCAGCTTATTTTCCTAAATCTGTTTCTTCTCTCCGCACCAGTTGAGTCTTTGTTAGACGGCTGATGAAGCGCTCGCCTGTTTTCATGCGGCTGAATCATGTTGTGATTAATTTGCTGAATTGTGCTCCGGGGCGAACATAATAAAAACAGACCGTGGAACAAAGGGCTGTTGTGTTTACGGCCTTAGTAATTTCTTTGTTTATATCATCAAGTGTCACAACAAACAAAACACAAGTCCACCCACAAACACTGTTTTATTTCTAAATTTGATACAAGAAGAAAAAGTAAAATATCCTGTAAAGTGAAATGTTGCTTTTGTGAATCTGAGTAAAAGCAGAGAGTCGGAGACTGTTGTCCACTAATCACTGCAAAGTAACACTCTTTGATTTTGTTCTACTGTTTTATTATTTCTTTTAAAATAAATTAACTCTTATGTTAAATAATAATAAGTATTAGATCCCAATGACCTCTGACCCACTATGACCATGAGACACATGATGCTGTTAGTCTTCATCTTCCCAATCAGACGGTGAACTTTACTTCTGAGGAGTCAATGTTCTAGTCTGTGTTTGTTAACGAGATGAAGAAAAAATACTCAACTGATTTCCATGAATGATTTCTGAAAGCATTCAGGCCCATTCTTAAATAATCTGGACCACATTAAGAGGAGTGATGCCATCATCATGAGCAAGTTAAGAAACTATTTCAAAAAACGATTATTAAAAGCTATATTCTAGTCTGTTGGAGGGAGAAAAGGAGAAAAGTCCTCCACTCCTCTCCTCATCTCTTCTCCTCTCTTCATCTTCTCCTCATCTCCTCTCCTATGATAAGCTGCAGCGCTGTAGGTTACCATAGCACCCGGGAGAGAAAAAGTCAACCCACACAGAGTCTCCTGCATGCCTACCACTCATTCTCTTCCTCTCTCTCTCTCTATCACTCTCTCTCTCTCGCTCTCATCTTTCTACTGTCTCTCTATCTACTTCATCTCTCTCTCCGTCCCTCCGGTCGACGACAGCACGACGCGGTCACAATTTTTTTTAAGGATATGGTTAACCTCTCATGGTGAATTTGTGCATCTGTGTTTACCTGCATGTGTGTGTGTGTGTGGATCTCTCTCTCTCTCTCTCTCTCTCTGTGCCGGCTCGTTCACATAGATGCTCAGTGATGAATATGCAGATATGTTCTGCCCAATATGACAACTCAGCTTCACTGTCCGCCCACATGCACAGGATGCCCATGGACACACACACACACAGATCCACGGGGGGGGGGTGCTCTGGTTGAGGCCCCTCAGACTCCTGTTACCACCGATGTGTGCGATGTCTTCTCTCTTCTGTGTTTGTTTGTTTTCTCCTTGAACAACCAAAGTGTCAGTAATTACTTCTGTTTAAATGTTAACATATCGCTCATTTGAAGTGTGTCATTGTTTGTGAGCTTGTGCTCGAGTGCATTTTCAGAGAGAGAGGACGAGTGAGTCATCAGAGAGCCTTATCCCAACCACTAGCCAATGAGAGGGAGCGTTTCGAGTTCGCTGGTGAACGACAGTCTACAACGAGCAAAGGCCGGTTTACGTGGACGCCATATTGTATATTCCAGCAACGAGTGCACATATGAGAAACACTTATTTAAAGTAGCTGAAGTCAAACTGATAGTATTCACTGTACACACCTGTCCCTTCTTTTCCTTCCCTCCATGAGAAAAAAGCAAAGCATTTGTGGGCTTCTCGAATGTTCCTGCAACTCAAAAGATTTACCCACAATGCTCAGCTCTGGGACACATGGCAATGACAGTGGAATTGCTGGAAAAATCAATTTAAAACCAAACGTGGAGAGGGCTGGAAAGATAGTGTTTCATCTTCATCATAAACGTGTCGTGAAGTAGTTCCACGGCACAAGTGCAGTGTAAGAAGATGTGGCCCAAAGTCTGACACATCAGCTTACTCACAGTGTGTCTGGGACTAATGATTTAAAACAGTGTTGTTTTATTCCTTGAACAGTATTCAGAGCTCTGGTAGACTGTGGGCCGAGGGGTTCGGGACATCAGACCTGGGACTTGATATAAAAGCCGGAGTTTTCTGCATTTGAATGAACTTTATTAGCCAAAAGTATTGTTGATGTGTTGTTAAGGTGTCTCCATGAAATTCCACCTGACAAAACATGAAGCTATTGGACCTGGGGAGAAAGGTTGAGGGGGGGGGGTCGAGGATTAGAAGAAGGACATGAGGTAAAACGGAGGAGAGCCGTCTGCTCTGGCACCGCGTCCATTGTAGTTTCCAGTGATCTTTCTGAGGACCATCTGCTGTCTGCTCCATTCACTGTTTACTGTCTAAATAATCAATGTGGTCTGATGATCAGCAGGATGCTTCCCCATGCTGCTCGGAATTTGCCAAACTCGGTAAGTCCTGGGGAACCCCCCCCCCCCCCCCCGAAACTAGTCATTGTCTAAAACGCAGATTACATAATCAGAATTCTACCATCAAGAGGTTTAATAGATAACAGGAGGCTGGTTGTAAAGTTTACACGAGTCTAAAGTTCCCTTCAAGGGTCAAAGAGTTGTTAACTGCTGAAGAACAGACTTAAAATTCACTGTGTGTGTGTGTGTGTGTGTATGCAGCAGGTGGAGCCCTGGTTCCAGTGCTGGATGTTAAATGTATAGATGCACCTTTAGTGTTGTCGCTTTAC